ATTATTTTGTAGGCCTTTATAGGATATAAAACTTAGAAACAATTCTTAATATTCCTATTAGATTTAAATGGTTTAAACTAAAAATAAGACCATATTAAGCACTATCAGTACTTGTAAAATTTTAAAGTTTTTGGACGTTTTATTTTTTACTCAATACAAAAATGATTAGCTCACACTACTAATTGCCCAAAACTTATAAAAAAACTAAGCATTCTTTGTTAAAGAACTGATTATAAGAAATATTCTGTATGTCCTTATTTTAAAACCAAGATTCTGATGTACATAACAAAGCTAAATCAAAATTCACAAATAGTGCCTGAAGTCCTGTCAACTTTCAGCCCACTACAACATAAATCCACACTTGTTATGCATAAACAATTCAAAATTAAAGTTTATAATGGAAATGTCAAAAAGTCATAACTATGTCACATCCCTGCTGATGGCTCCACTGTTCTTCAACCAGGCACAGCAGATGTGCACAGCTGGCAGACAGCCTGCTTAGAAAATTAAAGCTATCGGAGCTATAAATAAGGAATTATGTAACTATGAATACAGCAATACCAAAGCATTAGGGACATTTTAAAAAAATGAGCAAGATGTGATATAAACACATCTCATAGTTCTCTTTGTAAGCCACTTTCCACTGACTTACAAATTTATGGTTTTATAATTCTTTTTAAAAGGAAATTTTTTCTACACTGCTGCATGCAATAATTTTACTGTACATTCTTGACTACTATGCAATCTTAAAATCCTCTTGCACAGGTTGGCATATCAAGAGTTTTCCAGAGTCAGCTTGTTGTATTTTTAGCAGCCTTCAGCGCTTCAGTAGCCTTGCGAAGTTCCTTAATGAGCGACGATAAAGCTTCTGGGTTAATGCCTTGTTCACAAAGTCATACACAAATGGACAGAGTTTCCATATTTAAGCCCATATTCAAAATTTTTGAAATCTCAAGCGGAACGTCCATGGTCTCTCTCACCGCGCTGAGGTTGGCCGCCACCGCAGTCCGCCGCCCCGCCGCCGCCGCCACTCGCCATGGCGAGGCCGAGAGCTGGAATATTTTTCAGACTTAAAGAAGACCAAAATTATGTCATTTGTAGGATAATGGGTGGAATAAGGGATCATCATGTTAAATTAAATGAGTCAGACTCAATCAAATATTGTATGGGAAGAATCCAAAAAATGATTAATTGTAGAAAATAAAAGATGTCATTAAAGTAAAAAGGAGACATCAAACAAGAAAGAGGTCATATATAATGGGAGAGTGGGGGATTGAAAGTGATCAATATACATTATACACCTGCATGAGTGTGCAACACAAAAACTCACTGTTCTGTATGAATAAAATTTTAGAGGTATACATGTAACAACTCAAAAATACTATCATAAAAACTATAATGGGGGAATAAAAAAACTGTATGATGATTTTTTAAACTCCTAAGTAACTTAGGTTTCTTTGGTTAGAATTCCAACCTAAGATTTTCTGTGGAAGGCCTTTTTCTGCACTTGCTCCTCCACCAGTCTGTCTGCATATCATGTTTCTCCTCCCACTTCAACCCCACTGTGTGTGCAGCATGCAGTTGATGGACACTTATGGAAAAAAATAGACTCTTCAAATTATATATCAATGTTTTTAATGCACTTATTTTTCCATATTTCTGTCTTTAGGGTTTTGATCTCATTGTCTCTTAATTTCCTCTGGTGCATACTTTGGATGTGATTATAACTATGCACAAATGCTGAGAGCAGGCTTAATTAACACATTGATTAAAAATAAGTCAGGACGGTAGTGGCATGTTTTTCTGAAAGATGGAGTCATTTCTAATTGGATTCAATAACAATTTAAAATTTTGATTTGTTAGTTTATGTTAAATATTTTCCAAACTTTCTAAAAATCCTTTTCCTTTTTTTATCATTTCCTCCATTGATACTAAGTTAATTAGTATTTAAGGTTAGGTAAAAAGATACAATGGAGTGGTAAAATTCAGCATTGATTTCTTTTTTTAAAATGTATTTCATACAGTGTCTACACAGCTCTCACTCGAAGTGATTATTCTGTTTTCCATCTCCCAAGTTCTGGGATCACAGGTGTGTGCCACCATGCCCTGACTCAGTTCCCTGTTCAGAGCATCCGGAGCTGGGGCCAGTGGCACGTGGTGCTGAGAATAGAACCTCAGTCCCTGCACTTGCCTAAGTAGGCACTTAGTCCTATAAGATATCTCTCCAGCCCTAAAGTTCAGCATTGTAAAGCAGATACTATAGCTTCTATCATGGTCTCTTTCATTCTATGGCCATCTGCAGTCCAATACAGTTTATCACATAGAAAAAAGTAGAAATAAACATTACACATTTTACATTGCACATTATACTGATTAGAATAATGAAGTCCAACACCATTCTGTTCTGGCCCATCTGGATATAAATCATGCCAGTGTGCAGTGCACCCACACTGTATACTGTACCAAATGTTAGACCGTGATGGAAAATCTTTTAGAGCTGTCAATGTAAATAAACAGCCAACTGCAGCACACATGCCATAGCCTCACCACTACTGGCTGAGTCACTCAGAATCCCTCCCAGTTACCAGATAAATTGTGCTGGAAGAGCAACGTTTGCGCTCAATACTCCCTCTTTGCTAATGGGACTGAAGTGCAACAGTAGTGACACTGGTGATTCACATATTCCACTGTGACATTGCCAAGTGCTTCCATTACAGAAACGAGGCTGACATAGACCCTGAGTTCAGTCTGCATGACAGGAAATGGAAGGAAAGGTGGATAATGAGAAAGACCTAATTATTCAATGTAAAATTACATGATGAGTATGATGAGGTTGGTAAGATCTATGATAGGAATGAAACATCTTTTTTTTAATTTTTTAGGACAAGGTTTGACTCTGTAGCCCAGGCTGGCGTTGAACTTGCAGTGATTTTCTTGCCTCAACCTCTTGAGTGCTGAAATTTCAGGCATGTTCCACCACACTCAGTCTACAAATGACTGTTCTATTCATGAATGTGCAAAGAAAAAAATCATGATAGCTTTTTGTTACATCTGGAACTGAAAAACATATGATCAGTGTATGAACCTAGTTAAATTTTGGCTTCAACCCTGCCCATGATTTCAGGCATCACAGGTTCCTTAAATGCTACTAACAGGTGGGCTATGGATAAGTATTATGTGCACTTTGCTACACTTCTTATTCCTGTTCCACTGTGACTTTTGTGCTCCTGGACACTGCTGTACTCTCCTTTTCCAAACACAGCATCACCTTTGAGAGTGAGGTACATCCATTCTTGCCTCCTAGGGCTTCTTTTCAGAAGTCATCCTGTCCTGATCCAAAATCCCCTTGTCAGTACCCTTCTCAGGGCTGCTTTCACATCTTTGTTCCTCAGTGTGTAGATGAAAGGGTTGAGGGTGGGCGTAACAATGCCATAAAAGACAGCCATGATCTTGCCCCTGTCATGGGAATAACTGGAGGGAGGCTGTACATACATGCTGATGGCTGTGAAGTAGAAGAGGAAGACCACAAGCAAATGAGATGCACAAGTGTTGAAGGCCTTCCAGCGACTCTCAGCAGAGTGGATTTTCATCACGGCCTGAGCAATTAGTATGTAAGTCCCAAGGATGAGAGTGAGTGGTACCAGTAGTAGCAGAGCCCCCAGGACATTGAGCTCAGCTTCATTCAAATGAGTGTCAGTACAAGCCAGTTTCAAAAGGGCAGGAACTTCACAGAAAAAATGGTCTATCACCCTGTGTCCACACCTTGGGGCCATCACTGTGAGAGTGGACTGCACAAGGGAGTTTGCAAAGCCACTTGCCCAGGTCCCAGCAGCCATATGGATGCACCGCTTCTGGTTCATAATGACTGGGTAATGGAGGGGCTTACAAATGGCAGCATAGCGGTCAAAGGCCATGATGGCCAGAAGGATGCACTCAGTGGACCCCAAGGCCAGAAAAATGTAGAGCTGGGCAATACAGCCTCCATGACTGATGGTCTTTTCTGGTCCCCTGAGATTAACCAGCATCTGTGGCACAGTGCTGGTGGTATAGCAGAGGTCTAGAAGGGAGAGATTGGAGACAAAGAAGTACATGGGGCAGTCAAGTTGGGGATCCAGGCGGGAAACTAGGATTATTGATATATTTCCAAATAAAGCACAAATGTACGCTACTAGAAAGACAATGAAGAGTGGTGTTTCTAGCCAAGGGCGGTCAGAAAATCCCAATAAGATAAAATTATCCACAGAACTCTGATTGTTGATCCACATTTTAGCACTGAGAGAAAAATTCCACCTGAGACATATATCTAAATAATCCTTATTAGGGATTAGTATGTGATTAGAGGAAGTGCCTGAGAATTAGATGCCAGAGATGCCAAGATAGAACTCTTTTTTTATCTATTGGCATCTTTATCTCAATGACAAAAGTGTTGCCCTTTGCCTCTGAAATTTTTGAGTCTTTTTCCATGTAATATTAAAGATGGCTGAGGAACAAAAGTAGCATCAACAATTAGATGAAAACTGTTTACCTAATGAATATCTTCTTCTCAGTTATTCACTTCTGCATTTTCACATCTTCTCTCCAAACAGTTTAGGGCCACTACCAGCAAGTCTTTATGTTGCAGATGCTTAGTGATAATGGAGTGTGGGTTTAAGCAAATTGGGAAAAGCAGAAGAAGTAAGCAGAACAGGAAGGTGGCTGCAGAGCCATGGCTACAAAGCCTGTTTTTCCCACCACACCAACTCTGGCCAAGGCTGCACAGGACAGCACATTTTTTGATCAGCAATCACTCCTATATACCAGGACTCTTCACATTCCAAGTTCAAGCGATACTGCTACACAGGCAGCTAAATATAGAGGAAGAAAGTCAATAAAGCAGTCAGCTAAAAAACAATTTAGTGCTTGCTGTGAGCATGCTACTTTAAAAAATCTGGACACACTTGAAGGAATTTTATACTCCTAGAGGACTCATCAGAAGGGCTTAAATATTGATGCCTCTGAAACTTGGTGTTGTATAGGAATTTCCACTCCCCTAGGATTATCATCTATGTACATAAACTTAATCTCCTCTGTACCCCCATTTATTCTTTGCTTGTGGCATTTTTGCAAGCTAACCATACTATAAGTTAGTTGTATGCTTTACATGGGTAAAGGGTGGGACAGAAAATTGTAATTGCCTGTGTCATTCAAATTGTCAACCTCATCAGCTATATAATTTCTTTTACCATATCTATCCATTAACTCTATAACAAAAATATTACAACACACACAAAAAAACCAAATGTCTCATGATCTGCAGCATTCATACTGACCTTCCTCCTTGTACTGCTGTCTAATCTTCACTGTCCTAGTTTGTTTGTATCCAAACAGTCTTTCCTTCATTCAAATTTGGTCATGAACACCTTGCACAAGTATTATGTTTTAAATATTTATTAATTTATTTTATTATGCATTTTATTAGTATGTTTATAGTTTATAACGGTTATATTCTTTATGGGCAATATGTACATGTATATATATAACTTGATTCATTTTGTTCCCTTATCTTCTGCTGTAAGGATGGATAAACTTGAGTCATTTGTTAGAACATGAATGCATCTTGCAAACATAGTGTTAAATGGAATAAATAAGACACACAACTTATTTTTTTACATATTCAGTACAGGGTCTATGGTGTCTCACTACACAGGTAGTTATCCTCCTGTTTTCAACCTCCCAAGAGCGGGGACTACAGGCACGCACCACCACGCCCAATCTTAATCACCATTTCAGCTCGCCCCTGAGGCAGGGCCTGCACTGAACACCTGGAACTGAAGCCCGGTCCCTGAATCTTTAATCTGCTGAGCTATCTGGCCAGCCCAAAAGATAACCTTTCTTTGTTTGTTTGTTCGTGTTTCTTTGCAGTACCAGGGACCAAACTTGGAACCTTGTGATTGCCAAGCAGGTTCTTATGCCATTGAGCTATATTCCCAGTCCCACAAATTTAAATATTGTGTGGTTTTACTGATATTGGACACTTAAATATTATAATACAGTAGTGGGCTTCACAGCTACATATAATAATGGGTTGAGCCATAGAGACATAGATAGAAAAACTTCCTATTTCCTTTCCTGCTTTTGGAGATGTGAAATACCTTAGTATCCACCCTACAAGGGTCATATCAAATACAAGAATGATCTTTAGATTTCCTGCTCTTCTTCTTTTACTTCGGAATATTGTATTGCAATTTCCTTGTAATATGTGTATACATAAAAGAAATTTTTTTCCTGTTTTTAGTTGGTCTGCACTCCAGACCTACTTGATTTCCCACTCTTTCAAGAGTTAATGATTTGTAAAAGCAAAAGTATAAGCAAAAGATGCTGAATATTCATTACATAACAACTACTTTGAATTTTATTGGAATTGGCAATAACAAAACTTTTCCTTTAGTGTTCTGATATATTAGGAAGGATAATTTTGTAATCACTATTTCTTTTCACGATTGACTTCAGTTTCTGAGATATTGCTTCATAATTTTACCCAAATTCACAAATATTTTACATTCCAAACATAATAAGTCAAAGTAGAAGTAAATGTACCTTATTTTATTTTTAAACATTTTCAGCTTTTTATTGCTAATACAAAAATTAATACAAGTAACCAACCAAAGAATGTTTATTTTTACTTAGAAAATAAAAAAAACAAGTTTTGAGTATGTCACCTGACAATCTTGTGTCTTGATTTATTCAACTAGATAATGAGATGCAAAATATTTACATAGTCCATAAAACATTTGAAAAAATCAGACATGAATTTCCTTTATAAATAAGAAAAAAACTACATAATATAATTTGGGATACAAAGAGGAATAAGAAGTAGCAGCAGGATAAATAGAACTATTTGCATGATAAAACTTTAGGAAATTTCCAGGTGTTTATACCCTTCCATGGAAAATGAAGTCAATTATTTTCTTTTTCTTTTCTTTTCTTTCAGTCCTTTAATTAATCTAGTTTTTTACACACTTGGTTCTTTTTTTTTCTTTTTTCCCCCATAATATTTTCTTAAGACTTATTTCTATTTTATTTTTATTTCTTCATTTTTTTGATAATTTTATTGAGAAATAAATAGAAATGAGAGAGTTTCAAAACCGATTAGAAGGACGATTTCAATAATTAATACATTGTGTATTGTTTTCTTCTTAGTGGCTATTCCCAGTACAGGATGCAGACATGATATCCTGTCCACAAACACTGTTAGTACAAATATTTATATTCTTTGAATTAAGAGAAAGTAGCTGTACGTCTATCCTAACTATTTTGTATATACAGATACAAAATGGTCCTTTATTTGTATCCCCCTTTTTGTTTAGTTTTGTCAGAGAGGGACATTCCACTGTCATTTAAATATTATAGGTGCATGAATTCAACAAAATATTTCAATATAGTTCAGTAGTCAATAATAGTAGTGGGTTATCCGTAGGACTGGCGATGTCAGAAGTTGTTGACTTGAGTCTTTTAGAGCTCAGCATATTAATATGATTTTACTTTTATACATCATTTTTATACTTTTCTACTGGATGGTTAAGACCATGATAAAGCAAGACCTATATAACAAGAAATGTAACTTTTGTATCTGACAAGGTCAGTCAAATCCCCTCAGTGTTTACCCTGAAATCTTGTACCACAGTTTGTAGATCTTTTGTCAGTGCCAGCCATGTGGATGAGTTACAGCCATTGCTTGACTAATTTGCTATTTAAGACTTATTTTTAAAACACATTTATTATTTCTATAATGCCACTTCTCCTTCTAAACTTTTCTTACCCATTTTTTTTGTTTTTTCTATTACTCAACCTGGGTCTCAGAGCCCTTTGAAATATTGCTTTAAATATGGCTTTGCACTATTTTATGTCCCCCAAAATATGGGCCACATATAATTGTCAGTTGGTTATAGGGTTATTATACATATATATGAAAATTTAAAGTTGAGAAATATTATATCCAGAAAAAGAGTTCTACCGTATTGCAAGGTTACATTTAAAAGAGCATCCTTAATTAGGATTCAAGTAATTTCTTATCTATTGTAATGCTAAATAATTTTGAAGTGTTTCTTTCGATCTAACTAAATTGTTTTCTAGCTATAATTTCTTCAGAAACTCATTATTCAATTACTTAGACTCAGGTAATTTTTTCCACATCATAAGAAATTTGAGGTTTTTTCCCTATGTTGAAAATTTTATTTTAACATTTTAAAAAATCTTTGTATTTTTCTACTACCTGCGTCTAAGCAGCAAGTCATTTCTCACTTTTTTTTGTGATACCAAGGATTGAACTCGGGAAATTGAGATTTCCAGGCAGACACTTATGCTGCTGAACTATATCCTAGGCTCTTATTGTTATTAAATTATTTTCTTTAATTTCTAAGATGTTTAATACATTGTTGATAGGAATTCAACAATGGTTGTTATATTGTGTATTGTTGTCTTCAAATTAGTTGTTCAGAATACCAGATATTAGCATGATAAATTGTTTAAAAGTTAAAAAGAAGAGAGAAAAATATTAAGCCATAACTTCTCCTTTCAATAGATCAGCAGAAATCAGCTGTACAGTTATCCAAGCTATCCTTTGAATATACAAATGTATTTCTTTTTCCCTTCTTTGTTTTTTCCTTTCCCTCATCTCAGTTATTCCTTCCCTTTGAACAGTTTCTTCCCACTTCACATTATTTATTTTACCCTTCAGAATTTATTTACTCTTTCAAGTTCTTACACTAGGAAGGCAATGTGATGTTTATATATGCTAATCTATTTATTTCACTTCTGATTATGGTTTCTAGCTGCATGCATTTACCTAGGAAAGCTGTGAATTTATCCATTTTTAAAGCTGAGTAGGGATAAAATCTTCTTACATTTCTACTACAAGGAGGCAGTGAATATTCATACATAAATACACAAAGCACATGTGTAAATATTTAAAATTTGGGCATATCAATAAATATGTAAAATTTATTGGAGCACAGAGGTAAAGTGAATGATGATAACAGATAGCATAGAACACTCAAAAAGTAGAGTTGAGAAGAAAAATGGAGAAAAAATAGAGATTGAGAGAAAAAGATAAATGTATGAAAATAGCAACGTTCTATCTAACATACAGAAAATGCTTAGTTAGATAAGTATCTATTGCATATATAAATAAGGAAAGAAATAGAACAACATGAAATAATTATTAAGGGTATAATACTACCTCAGGCAGAAGACTGATGCATTTTATTTGTGTGGAAAAGACTGTGGG